ATAGTACCTTGAACACACCTAGTGTTCTTCTGAGAATCTCAGAAGGCTTGGAAAGATATCATTTTTTTTTTAAAGGAAATAAAGCCAAAAAAATTAGCACTTTCTCTACCACTATAATAAGTTTTTTTCAGAGAAAGGACCACCTTTTTTCATCTTTGAATACTCTGTATCTAGCATAGTATCTAAATCATGTTTATGACAGTTACCAGTTTATTGCTCTTCTACTCTTTGCATGGTTTTGCTATACTGAAGCTGAACCCTGAAAACATTTCTATACCAGCTGATATGAAGTAACGTTTGTCAGTAGAGGGCGCTGGGGGGACACTATCAGAAGAAGGGGCATTTCTCTGGGGTCTTATACTTTTCTTGTTGCTCCTATGTTTCTTCTTGCTCCTATGGTGCAGTGGCCACTGGGCAGCTCCCTGTGGAGACCTGCTGGTGCACACCTTTTGGCGAGTTTTGCTGGCACTCCAGCAAAACTTCCAGAGAGTTTCACCAGCATTCTAGTGGGAATGAAGCACCTCGGTGAAATTCTTCACCATCCAGTGGGCCACGGCCACATCTCGAATGCAGCCTGAATCTCATCTTGAGAGGATGTCTTCTTTCAAGTGAGTTCCTTCCTTGATAACTCTCCTCAGCTTGGAAGGTAGTAGTTGTTCCCTACACCTACTATTCCAATGTTCTCTAGAGATCTCCTTACCCTTCTTAAAGTTAATGCCTTTTACTAGTTAACAATTCTTTCCATTAAAATGTCCCCCCTGTTCAAATGATTGGTGTGGTTTCTGTCTCCTGACTGGACCCTGACTAATATAGACAATAGATGGTTAATGGATAGGCTGGGCATAGTGGCTCACACTTGTAATCCCAGCACTTTGGGAGGCTGAGGCGGGCTCTCCTGACTGCAGGAGTTCAAGACCAGCCTGGGCAACATGGCAAATTCCTGACTAAAAATACAAAAATTAGCCAGGCATGGTGATACTACTTGTCTGTAGTCCCAGCTACTCAGGAGGCCGAGGCAGGAGAATCACTTGAACCTAGGAGGTGGAGGTTGCAGTGAGCCAAGATCACGCCACTGCCGTCTAGCCTGGGTGACAGAGTGAAGTTTTTTGGAGTTATACATTTTCTCTCTTTCTTTCTTTCTTTTCTTTCTCTCCTTCCTGTCCTTCCTTTCCTTTCTTTCTTTCCTTCTTTCTTTTCCTTTCTTCTTTTCTTTTTTCTTTCTTTTCTTTTTTTCTTTATTTCCTTTCTTTCTCCCTCCTCGTCTCTTCTCTCTTTTCTTTCTTTCTTTCCTTCCTTCCTTCTTTCTCTTTCTTTCTCTCTTCTCTCTTTCTCTCTTTTCTTTTTTCTTCTCTCCTTTCTCGTTTCTTTTCTCTTTCTCTTTTCTGTTTTCTGTTTTCTCTTTTCTTTTTTTTCTTTTCTTCTCTGTTGCACAGGCTGGAGTGCAGTGGTGTGATCTTGGCTCACTGCAACCTCCACCTACTGGGTTCAAGCAATTCTTATACATTTTCAAGCAATCTATAAAACTTACCTCTTTTTGGCCAGGCACAGTGGCTCATGCCTGTAATCCCAGCACTTTGGGAGGCTGAAGCGGGTGAATTACGAGGTCAAGAGATAGAGACCATCCTGGCTAACACGGTGAAATGCTATCTCTACTAAAAATACAAAAATTAACTGGGTGTGGTGGCGGGTGCCGGTAGTCCCAGCTACTTGGGAGGCTGAGGCAGGAGAATCACTTGCAATCCTGGAGGCGGAGGTTGCAGAGAGCCAAGATTGCGCCACTGCACTCCAGCCTGGTGATACAAGACTCCGTCTCAAAAAAAAAAAAAAAAAGCCTACCTCTTTTTTACCTCAATTGAGTATACAGCAGATTTCAGTGTTACCAAGGATATGGAAACGTATTTCCCTCTCATGTGCTCTTTCTGCACAACCATCTTGGATTTGCAATTTTGTCCTGTATTAGCAGAAACAGTCTGCCCAGTCTTAAAACTTGTACCATTTCCTGTTTCAATAGCACGGTCCCTCATGCAGGTGTTCTATTTTGAGAATGCAATAGATTTTACTATTCATTTCCACAGGAAGTGGCTAAACTCTTAATACAGTTGATATTCCCAGGCTCTGAACAGTCTTGTTTTCTAATCCATGCAAATTATATACAAGTTAGTATATAATACGTTCCTACAACTTGTTTTGGAGAATAAGGCATATTCGAAAATAATCCAACTTCTTATTCTTATGATCTATGGGTCAGACTAAAAAAAATTATTTCCTAAGAAAACATGAAATGTAAAAATCACAGTGAAGTGTGTCTCTGTGACAATTGGCACAAATTGACTATTTACATCTCTATCCCCGAACACTTTGGCCAAGTGAACCAAATCCTTAAATTGAACACAGTTCCAAACAGGGAGTGCCCAACCCTTCATTAAGGCTGATAGAAAAGCACATCAAGGACATGTGAGGTTTTCCTTGTTTATGTAATGAAACAGACACCAATGTTTAGCTGCTGAATGTGTAAATATAGCCTGCGTGACAGTGGGGAGCTAAGAAGGAAGGAAGCAATTTGGGAAATATCTCCTTCCCACATCACAAACATTCTCAGAAGCATCAGAAGACCCCAAAGCTAGGTCCTACAATATGTGCATTTTATAAAGCAAACCCACCCTCTGGCTTCGGGCTGTGTGTGACCTGGTTTCTCTTTTTAATTTTATAACTAGGGTGGAAAGCTAACAGTGTAGTATGTCATGGTCAATATGTCAACCACAAAGTGGGTCCAACGTTGCAGAAAGATTCCAATAGTCATTTAGTACATTTCCCTTGTAACTTGAGAGAATGGTAGTTGAATCACTAGGGTCTGGAGTCCGTAGTGTCAGATCTCCAAACCTGAAGCTCTGAGTTCTGAGTCGATTTTAGTGTACATTTATGTACAATGGCAAGAGGAGTTTTTTCCTGGAGGTGGAAGACAGCTTTAGGGAGTGGATTCGAAGGAGGGAGGGGGTGCCACTTTTTATTAGCCATTATTTCAGTTTTAACAGTCATCAAACAAGTCATCCCTAGTCATTTTGAAATGGAGAACATATAAGTCCTGCTGCTCAGTTGGGCTTAAATATTTCCACATTGTCACTAATGCTTCTAAAAATATTTTTTGTTAATTTATGGAAGTGTAGTTGACAGCACATTTTTGTTTGATGAGCTACTACTACCATACTAGCTAATATAACAACCCAAAAGTGCTTAGGATTGGAGATTCCTCCTCCCTTCCCATCCCATGATGAATAGGACATCACTCAGATAAATATGAAAAGTGAAGACTATATTTGTATTTTTCTCTTTGTGGTCAAGTTCACTGACAGGAGGTCCATTCTCAGCCACCCGCACCCCACCAAATATTTAAGACATAGAATTACTTTGTTGAGTTGGTTCAGCCGAGATGGAAAATGCAGATCCCTGTATAAGCTGCATTCCAGCAGCAATGGTGTTTAGCTTAGGACTGAGCCAGGAATGGCATACTTTTTAAAAGGTAGGTAAGAGGTGAGAGAGGATCATTTCCAGAAAGTGATAGTAGCTGGGGAAGCTGCATAGAGGCCCCAGGTTATAGCCTTTTCTTGGTTCAATCTGCTTTTTATGTTTTTATTAGAAGTGGTTAAGAACTAGGAATTGTTGGGGGTTGGGGAGGCAACAGAGAGGAATGAAGTGAAGACTGTGGGAGTTAGGGAGGGAACGACCTCAAGACCCAACGTGATGAGAATTCCAAAGGATGGGGAAGGGGTCAAAGTCTCCAGGGCTTCCAAGAGCAGAAAAATCTGCTAGACCAGCCTTGGAGGCAGCAGTGGGCGCCCATGGAATCTGTTCCATTACATTCATTTTACATGATTAGCAGCAAATCAGGCTAAAAGAATTAACAGAGCCTTCAAAACAGATGGTTCCTGGGTAACAGGATGTCCTCTTGTCTTGTTTACTCAAGAACAAACTGTGTCTTTGAAAACACTAAAGCCTTAACACAAGATACTCATTGGGTCTCACCATCTTTGGGATGAACAGTTGCTTTAAGTCAGTGTTTTTCAAACTGCAGTTGTGACCCATGAATGTTGTGAACCAAGTTAAATGATGTTTGACCAGTGTGTTTTAGTGGAATGTAACAGCAAAATCAAAGTGCCTCTCATCTAGTTTTGTGAAATTTTTGTTTCAGTGGTGTATATGTATAACAGTATGTATGTGCCAGGTTGTAATGGAAAATGTAGTTCTTATGGTGGAACAAGATCCAAAAAGTAGAAAACATTGCTTTATGCAACTTTAGAAGGGAAAGAAGGGATTGAGTGTGATATATCAATATTGTAGTATGTAATTAGTAGAGTGAGCACACACTGTCCACCTTTTTCCTTAGACGATGCGTGTGCATCTGTGTGTGTGATTCCATATGCTGTGCTAGGCAGCAGCATACTTCCTCCTAAGGATGTCATAAGATCCAGAGGTTTATTTAAGGAAATACTGCTCAGAATGATAATTTAGAAAATCTGAGAAGCACATCTACGGCTCCACATCAGGTGGATCTCTTCTTAAGATGAAGAGATCCACCCTCTTGCCATTGACTTAAAATTGTAAGTAAGTCCTTAAATGGTTTTTGTTGTTGTTGTTTTCAGGTCATATCATATCTTTGCCTAAGCACCGCCAGTCACCTCAACAATAGTAGCATAATTTTACATGGTTTATGTTAAGAAGAAAAAGTTTCACCTGAGTTATTTGTGGTGCCTGACTCCTCGGGAGGCAGATTTCCTGTATATGTATATTACCCTAACAGAAATGTAGGAGATCACCCATACTGCCTTCTGTTTCCAAACACATTGAAAAATGTTTCTACCTTCACATTCCCTGTTAGCTTTTAAAGTCTGACATCTGGTAACAAGGTAAGTATAGAAAACTAAGCAGCCACACCTCAGGGATGCCAGGGAAGTCCTTTGATAGAAAGATGAGGCAACAGGATGCTCAGAAACTCAGAGACATTATCACCTGTTATTGGAACATTTATTAATATTTGTAAGGTGCAGACTATGATACACAAAAAGACAGTGATATGAAATGACAGGCGTCTTCATCAGAGGTCTGCTTTGCAGCCTGTGAGTTTAGTTGTCAGCAGTACACTCAAGGCTGAGGACTTGGAGACTTGGGTTCCGTTGCCTCTGACATAAAGCAAGGACCTTCAGTAACAGCTGATGCTCCAATCAGTTTTTTGTTCATACACACTGTTGGCCATAGGAATCTTTCTTATCATTCTTTCCAAGGAAACCAGTAGCTACCTCTACCACCATCACATTGCAAACAACCAAAGGCACACATGTTCATGATGCTTTGTTCAGAGCTGGCCCGAAAATGAATTCACATGACGGGAGCTGGCTATGAGACTTACTTAAGACAGCAATGGGAATGCCCCCAGGTTAATGAACTAGAGCATGTTCAAAACAGAGCAGGGAACTACCAACCTCTTCCTTCTAGATCTGACAGGCTCTTTGGCTGATTTGAAAGCAGTCCCCCTGAAGCTGACACGGTTCTAAAGTTGAAAATGCTAAGTTTACTTTGCCATGTCCTCTGACATTTTGATAGGGGTTTATTTTATGGTGGGGGTTGCTGATTCTTCCAAAATCTGGGTTTCTGGGATTTGCTGTTTATTCAGCAGGAACCTACAAAGTCTGCGTTTATTCTTGACTGAAAGAATTGAATCCACAGCATCTTTCATCATAAATATAATGCCCTAGGAGAAGATACAGCAGCAAACCAGACAGACAAGGTCCCCAGTATCCAGTACAGTGCCTAGCACAAAGTAGGCAACTTAATAGTCATTGAACAGATATATGAATGGTATCTGGGTTGAGGTGGTCGAGGTCACATTGGTGTTTTTACTATAATGCTTTGCATCTCTGAAATCACAGACTTCCATTTCACATGTTAGCAATGGCATTTAATTTTCCTTGGCCAATGTTATGCTTGAGTTTGATTCATACAATAAAAAGTATGGACCATTATAATTATCTTAGATTTCCTCTCTGGGTATGTTTTTCTGGTCAAATCTTCATACTAAAGAGACGTTAAGCCACACTGCTTTTTCTCTAACTTGCCTGCAAAGATTTACTAAAATAAAACAGATTGATCTTATCCAAGTAACAAAAACAAAAATGTTATGAAATCATTTTGCTGCCCAAATCTAAAATACTATTATTAACCATAATGTCAACTTACTTAGGTCAATTCTTCAATTGCACTATGCTTTGAACAAATTGTCATTTTCCTTCCATTCTAAATATGACAGTTCAGTTATTAAGGAATTGTTTTTAGTTAACAATTACTTCAATTTCATATGAAACATGAGCTAACACTCTCATCAATTTTTATTCACAATTATCATTGCTCAAGAGTTCCTACTTTGAAAAGAAAATTTGTAATAGCACAGTGGAAAACAAAAATCTCATTTTATAGGTAAATGTAAGTATCAGATAATTGAGTAGCTTGTACATTGTATCCTATTACTATCATTCTCAGTGCCTGAATACTAATCAGTTTAACTGCTTTCAAGCTATATATTTTTAAATGTAATTAAAACATACAGTCTCACAGTAAATTTCAATGGCTTATTAAAGGCCTTTACATGGCATCAGTATCATATGTTAGAGATGAATGGTGTTTCTAATTTGCTAGCCACTTGGGTCAAGTTTAAGAAGGAAGCGTATTTATACAAGTAATGGTAATACAAACGGTCTCTTGGGAAAGCTGTTGGTGAGGGTTTAACATTTTTGAAGTATGTTTTTGTGTATCTTTGAAAGGGGCATTTTATAGGCATTGGGCCAAAGCATCTTAAAATCATGTTCCTTAGTACAGGTATAACTACTGCCAGTGCTGCCTGACTGCTCAGGTAGACTCATGAGGTGTGCGTTTTTAAGGGTGAGTTGAGGTCAGGTGAGGTTCGGCGAGTTGAACCACCTTCAGCTGAATAACGCTCTTTAGGACCAGGACCCTGCTCCTTTACATATGGCAGGTAAGGCAGCAGTATCGTCAGCACCTGCACCTGGGGGCTGGATGGAACTGCAGAAACTCTGCCCCCAACCCACTGAATCTGAATCTCCCTTCAAACCAGGTCCCCAGATGATCTGCAAGCACTCTGGTGTTGGAGAAGCACTGGGCTAGGACCCCAAAGCCTCTGCTTACCAGGGGCCAAGCACAATGTGTGGCATTACTTTCTCTTTCCTTCTCCTTCTGAAATCATCCTCTTTTTATGATATCCCCTGAGACAGTTTCCCTTTCTTTCTCGTCACTCCCACACTCAGTCCCCAGATCCACATGAATTTCCCAGCTCTGATGTCCTTGCTTGTTACCAAGAAACCACTTCTAGTGCTCTCCACCTGTAGTTACCCAGGGCTCTCTGCTGCTGAGTAACCCTGGGAAGGTCAAAGCATGCTAATGACTCCCAAGGATTTATTCTGCCTTCCTGCCACTGGGCCTCCCTTTCTTCATGTATTCTGCATGGAGATGTCATCCTTCTAAGTTATCCAATCCAAAAATCCAATCTCTCTTTTCCATTTTAAATCCCTCTGTTCTGAAGGGGGGATTTCTTTGTCCCTGTTTCTGGTCATGGAATGCTGCCTTCCTAACCTGGCATGAAGCTTCTTTGCTAATATTTGCAGGGCATAGAAAGGACAAAGGGAGCCATGCCAGATGTTTGGGGGAATCACAGACAGGGTTTACTCAGTAGAGGGAAATAGTGTGCAGTTATTAATGACTCAGCAGACCCCTTAACACACTTCATTTGGCCCCGCCTTTGCATTGAGGGACTCAGCCTGCAAGAGGCAATGGGAGATCCAAACCCAGACCCAGACTGGCCAGCCAGTTGACCCCTAGAAGCAATTTGGTCCCTCTGTTCTAAACTGCGCAGGGGTAAAGGGCTCTGCAAAGAAGTGAACTGGGCATTTAGAAGCAAGTTGCTTATAAATTCAGGCTCTGTGGGCTAGGGGTTAGCGCAGCCAATGGTCAAGGGAACATTTTTGGTTCAACCAGGTGAGGACCCCTCGAAGCTTCTCTGGAGTGGTCAACACCCAGAACAGATCTCTTTAATCAGAAGAGACTGGCAGGGGAAGAAACAAGATTGCTTTCTGGCCATAGTGAGTCCGAGGACCACGTTTGCAGCTTCCATTCTTCTTGAGGCCAACAAACCAATTCTTCTCTGCGTGCTTCTTGGATGTATAGGTGTTGTAATGGTTCTCCTCCAGCCTTTCCAGGAACAAACATTCCTCATTTGGTGTCTGCTAAAAAGATAAAACCAAAAGAGAGTAGGACAATTAGTGAGTGGTTTCACATGGGAGTCCCCATTTACTAGCTGTGTGACAATGGGCAAAATACTAAAGCTCTCCCTGCCTCAGTCTCCTCTTCAGGAAAATTGGGGTCATGGTGGAACTTATTTCACAGGGTAGTCTTAAGGACTTAGAACAGCACCTGGCACTAAAGAGCCTTCAGTATGCATTTGCTGTTATTGTAAACTCCCTTTCCATTTAAAATCCATTTTAAAGTAATAAAGATGCGACTGATAAGAGCACTTCTAAGAGTCCTCAGGACTCTAGAATCTCCCATGGGGACATCCTGCTTGACTATAAGTACCTTGAGGGCAGGGCTGGATCTTTCATCTCTGTAGTGGCCTGGCACACAGGCATGACCATGGAAAAACATTCAAAATAAGTAAAAACCAGACTGTGATGTAGTGGGTTTGTTGTTGTTGTTGTTTTAACTTGAAGACTAGACTTAAAGAATAAATACAAAGCTGCTAAAATGCCTTTTTATCCTGGTGATTTTCACTAGCAATGTCAGGATTTTGCCTGTGTATTGTTATGATGATATGCTTGTGCAAAATTTATCCTAAGCATGAAACATATCCTAGAATGTAAATGTTTTTTTAAATGAAAATAGCTTTATTTTTTGCTACTTATAAAAAGAATCTTATAAATAGATGCTACTTGTGGCCAGGCACAGTGGCTCATGCCTGTAATCACACTACTTTGGGAGGCTGAAGCAGGAGGATTGCTTGAGCCCAGGAATTTGAGGCCAGTCTGGGCAACATAGCAAGACCCATTCTCTACAAAAAAAATTTTTTTTTAAAATTAGCTAGATGCCATGGTGTGTGCCTGTCCTCCTAGCTACTTAGGAGGCTGAGGTAGGAGGATTGCTCGACCCCAGGAGTTTGAGGCTGTACTGAGCTATGATTGTACCATTGCACTCTAGTCTGGGTGACACAGCGAGACCCTGTCTCTAAAGGGTAATAAAAATGCTACTTACAAGAAGAATTGTACTTTTAAAAACATACCTTTACTTTGTAAAAAAAAAACTATCCCAAAACCCACCACCCAGATATAGGCAACTGTTAATCGCTGATGAGCATCCTCCCCTACATCTCTTTATGTACATACAGACTAGATAAGGCTATATGGATATATACTTATGATATCATCAAAATGTCATGTTTTATTTGATGTTTTAAAAATGAACAACAAATCTATGAAAACATTCAATATTCCTAATGAGAAAAATGCAAATTAAAAATTATGTATCATATGTTAGCTATCCTATGTGCAAAGATTAAAAAAAACATTTGCACAAAGATAAAAAAAATTTGCAAGACTTAGAATGTGGGAACTAGGCACTGCCACGTACAGTTGGCGAGAAAAATTAGTGGCAACTTTCTGAAGACAGTTTAGCAATATGTATCAAAATTTACAAGATGTATTACCTTTGACTCAGCACTTTCACTTCTAGGAATCTACCCCTAGGAGATGGCTGAGTAAGCGTACAGTTGTATTTTTGAGGATGGTCTCTGAACCAATGGTTTTAGGGGCAAGCGATTAGGAGTAACCTATATGTCCATGGAAAGGTGATTGGTTAAGTGGATAAAAGAATATCCGTACAGTAGAATCTAGTGCAGCTGTACATTTATTAAGTTGAAAATCAGCCACAACATATTAAAGAGTGCAGTTACTTGAAAAAAACCCAGCAACCACTATTTTGCTTACTTGTAGTTAATCTGTTGGTGGAGGGGCAACTCAGTTTTTGAACTTTCTATTCGTCAAGATCTTAGAATATATTTATTGCATTTGGGTCTAAAACAGGCATATTAAAACACTTAAGCTGGGAACTGAGACATCTGACTTTGCTTTGCCTTTTTCTTTTTCTTTTTTTTTTTTTGAGACAGAGTCTCGCTCTGTCGCCCAGGCTGGAGTGCAGTGGCCGGACCTCGGCTCACTGCAAGCTCTGCCTCCCGGGTTTACACCATTCTCCTGCCTCAGCCTCCCGAGTAGCTGGGACTACAGGCGCCCGCCACCTTGCCTGGCTAGTTTTTTTTTTTTTTTTGTATTTTTTAGTAGAGACGGGGTTTCACCGTGTTAGCCAGGATGGTCTCGATCTCCTGACCTCGTGATCTACTCATCTCGGCCTCCCAAAGTGCTGGGATTACAGGCTTGAGCCACCGCGCCCGGCCTGCTTTGCCTTTTTCAAGTCGTGTGACCCCTGCAGTCTCTCTTCACCCACTGTGGTTGGTGATTTCCAATCACTGTCTGGCGGTTTCCAATCATGTTGTTCATTGTTCTCTATGTTTGTTTCTTTAGATTATAAACCCTAGTGAGGAAGGAGATGGAATCTTGTTGGTCTTCTCTCCACCCCCAGACACAGAGCCTTGCAAATAATAGGTGCTCACCAGCTAAGTAATGCGTTTAATTTGATTCTTGAGATAATACAAAGCAGTCAGGAAAGTCAGCCTTTCTTAGTAAGGAATTGTGTAACAGGAAGTATCCTGCTTCTTATTCATTCATAATCTAGTGAAATGACAACAGGGTGAGACACTTTAGATCATTTTGGAACAAGATGAGATATAAATATATTTTATTGGATGACTCTGCTGCCTCTAGAGGAACTTGGTCCAGACATTCGTGTTTGATGCACATTGTTGGGGGTAGAAGGAAGTAGACAGCTTGGACCAATGTGGGTTGCCCACTCCCTTGTAGAGAGGACTCACCCCTGACACCTCATAGTGGGCATCAGGCCTGCGTTCTGTGACGAAGGTGAGGATGGCCACATTCCCCACCTGATGTCTCTATTACATTGGAGCAGTTGACACACACAAAATAGCTGAGTCACAGGCTGAGTCAGCAGGCCAGATCAGCGGTGCTCCGTCCCTCCACCAGGATTTGTCAGCACTCGTTACGCACTTGGTACAATGCCGAAGACATGTGGGTTAACTATTGATTCATGCCTATTGTTTAAATTGTCTTCTTTTTTATATTTAGCATGTTTCCCCTCCCACCCCAAGTTACATAGGTGACATATACTTACTGTAAAAAAAATTTGGAAAATACAGGAAGCTATTCACATATTATAAAATCACCCATTCTCCACCCCCAATATTTTGATATATAGCCTTTCAAACTTTAAAAAATATATATATCCTTTGCACACACACAAGTTTGAATCAGGATGGATTAGTGCCTAAATTTTGTGAAGAGCATGAAGCAGAGCTTTGAGATATCTTAGAACTTCTCTTTATCAATGGGGAAAATGCAAACATTCTTAGCTGTCATATACTAAGATCATATTTCAGGTGAATTGCAGTGGTGGCCACGGTTATGGTGGGAGAAGGGGGTGCCTGGAGCGTATCGGAAGTTAGATCCTGGGAGTTCTCCCTCAATATTTTTCTATAAGTGAAAGCAGGTTACAGTAAACATCAAAATTGATTTAAAGGGGGAAACGCCATAAAACTGTGGCATAACCTAAGATACAGTGAGGGCGAGGGGCTTCTACGCTGACTTGTCTTACAGCCACCACTGGTCTGTGACGTGCCAGCCACTCTGATGGGCGCGTTCTGTGTGTTGCGCCACTGAACTCATGTCCGCTCTGTGTGAGGCGGTTATGATCCATGACCGTCCTCATTTTGGACAAGGCTCAGAGTGGGTAAGTGACTTGCCAGAGTGGCAGAGGCATGTGATTCAATCATGAGTCTGAGACTGAACGATTGGCTGATGGATTGATTTTGCTACCACCTGGAAGAACTACCTTAAACGCCTACTCCCAAACCCCTTAAAGCCGTCCCAGGTGATCTGTACTGAGCACATAGCGTTTTAGACGTTGCCTATTACCCTGATGATTTCATCTCCTGATCCCTAGTGGGCAGTGAGATGAAACGAAACTGTGTTCACATCTGGACCCTTGGCTGAGATGACAACTTCAAGAGAGGGTTTCCTGTGCCCTCTGTCACTTGGCAATTTGATATAAGGTAAAGCTCCAGACTAAAATTCCCCCTACTGGCTGTCTTTTTGAAGACATCTTCATACAAGGGAGGAAAGGGGTATGGATTGGGCTAAGAATTACAGCCAAGCCTTAGTTTATCAATTGTTAGGATACAGAGGAGGGATCATTAAAATCTAGAAATAACTTCAAAACCTTCAGTCATTGGTTTAAGCTGTCTCTCCAGTTAACTCCGGCCACAGAGATACCAATAGGGGCAAAATCACATTGCCTCTATTTCTATTCCTTTCCCATAAAGACCTATCTATACACGGTCAAACCTGTATAAAGCATTAGCTATGATAGGGAGAGGGCAGGGAACATGGAGGATTTTAGCTACTGAAGAAACAATTAGACTACGCCTCTCCATGCGGTTCATTCATCCTCACATCCTTTCAGTACCTGACATGGCACTTAGACACAGGAGACATTTGATAAATGTTGAATTAAGTTATTAAGCTTTCTATCCTTTTAGGTGATCCTTTCAGAATAAAAGGGGCTATTTTCAAAGTTTTATGCATCACACATAAACTACAAAAGCCCAGGCTCAGCCATTTGTGAAAAAAGCAATAAGAGACACCCCTATAGCACATAGTACCTAGGTACTCAAGAAACATTTTTGGGCTGTGTGTGGTGGCCTATAATCCCAGCACTTTGGAAGGCCGAGGCCACTCGAGCCCAGGAGTTTGAGACCAGCCTCAGCAACATAGCAAGACCTTGTCTCTACAACAAATAAAAATGTTAGCCGGGCATGGTGGTATTCATATGTAGTCCCAGCTACTCGGGGGGCTGAGGTGGGAGGATCGCTTGAGCCCAGGAGTTCGAGGCTTCAGTGAGCCATGATTGCACCACTGCACTCCAGCCTGGGCGACAGAGCCAGACCCTGTCTCAAAGAAAAAAAAAGAAAGAAAACATTTTTGGAATGAATGAATGAATGAATGAATGAATGGAATGGGATTAGATATTCTAAAATGAGTGACTGAAGAGTTACCAAAACATCAATCAATCTTTCCTCTGTGTTTATATGATAATACATTTCAGTGTTTTGAGAGAATACCACAAGAAACTCTTTTATGTTTGTGTCTAAAATAAAGCAGGGTGAGGGTGGGAATCCTTCTGGAAAAAATAACAAACAGAGACTAATTGTTGCTTTATAGTTTGCCTCACTCCTTGTAACAAGATTTCTGGAAACCTCAAACCTTGGCCACGTCTGGAAGCATGTCAGCTTCATACTTACTGAGCCGTATAAAAGCCCGTCGGTGTCCATGGCCAAGTACTGGCCAGTCTCGGTACTCTTTATATACACCTCCCCCACGCTTTCCGCACTGAGCTGCAGCTGAACTGGAATAAAAATAACACGAGCAAAAGTAAATAAACACTACGCTTTTGCCGATAGGACCCGGCAGCCAGGACAGTTGGCCATGGAAAATTCTGCTCATTCATTTTGCAGAGCCCTCAGGGATGAGCCTCAGATTAATCAAAACATAGAAATACAGTCTCTTTTTCTTTGCCTTCCAAATAAACTTGTCCATTGGGAATTACGTCCTTGGGAAAGGAAGGAGAGACACCGGCCGGCTCACCTACCTGTCCACCCTGTTGGTTACAAAATGACCCTGAGTGCACCTTCACGGTGCCTCGCTCCTTTCTTTCTGTCACCTGTGGGAAAATAATCACAGGAGGAAATGGTATTCACTCCCCCAGGCTCCCTCATCCCTGCAGTCTTGGGGTGCCATAGACTGGGATCTGGCCACCCTGTGTGTGTTCTGCTTTTGTTATCAACCTGCACAGGGGTGCCTTTTTTTTTTTTTTTTTTTTTTTGAGACAAGAGTCTCGCTCTGCCACCCAGGCTGGAGTGCAGTGGCCGGATCTCGGCTCACTGCAAGCTCCGCCTCCGGGGTTTACACCATTCTCCTGCCTCAGCCTCCCCAGTAGCTGGGACTACAGGCGCCCGCCACCTCGCCTGGCTAGTTTTTTTTTTGTTTTTTTTTTTTTTTTGTATTTTTTAGTAGAGACGGGGTTTCACTGTGTTAGACAGGATGGTCTCGATCTCCTGACCTCGTGATCCACCCGTCTCGGCCTCCCAAAGTGCTGGGATTACAGGCTTGAGCCACCGCGCCCGGCCAGGGGTGCCTTTTAATTGTCTGGGCCTTCTAGTTGTGGGAGAGACTTCTATCCACAGATGGTTATTTTATAAAATCTGAGATTGCTACTTTCCCTGAGACAGAAGAGGTTCCCAGGGAGTTAGGACTGGTTGCCACATATGAAACTAAAGGAACTCCCTCGCAATGAAGGTTCCGTCAATCCCTCAGCCTCTATGGCAACCCACCTGGGGTACAGGCAGAGGGGTGATCGCCAGCTCCTGATGTGGGGAGAATGAAGCTGTTACCTGGAAATGCAGTGATGAGAACAGTGGTTCTCAACTGGGGGTGATTTTGCTCCAAAGGGGACATTTGGCAATCTCTGAAGACAGTTTCTGTTGTCACAGCTAGGGGGGTGGGTGCTACTGGCATCTGGTGGGTAGAGGCTGGAGATGCTGCTAACATCCTACAATGCACAGGGCAGCCCCCACAGCAAAGAATTTTCCAGCCCAGAGAGTCAGCAGCACCCAGATTGAGAAACCTGGAGATGGAGGGAAAGGACTGTGAGTTACAGAGTCACACTCTCCTCATTCACACTGATTGACACTCCCAAGGTGCTGGACACTTAATTGGAATCCAGTATTCATTTGATAATTATTAACTTGTTTATTCACCCTCGGGTGCCCTCTTGAGAGAGGTGCTTTGATAGTTCACATTTGGGAATTGGAATTAATTCTAGACTCTTCGGGATAATTTATTTGTTCACTAGACCATCAGAACCATCATTACGAGTAGGAGTGAAATCTAGACCAGGAACCAGTGGCTGCCCAGTAGTTCCCTAGGAGGATGAGGGGGCATCTCTGAGGTTCAGCTTGGCAGAGGCCGAGGGGCAGGAGAGGCTGGAACACACAGGGCTTTGGTTGGTAGATCTAGACCCCTCATTGCCTTTTCTTTGTTTTCTTTTTTTTTTTCTTTTGAGATGGAATGTTGTTCTGTCACCCAGGCTGAAGTGCAGTGGCGCAATCTTGGCTCACTGCAACCTCTGCCTCCCAGGTTCAAGCAATTCTCCTGCCTCAGCCTCCTGAGTAGCTGGGATTACAGGCACCCGCCACCACGCCTGGCTAAATTTTTTTGTATTTTTAGTAGAGACGGGGCGGGGGTTTCACCATGTTGGCCAGGCTGGTCTCGAATTCCTGACCTTGTGCTCCGCCCGCCTCAGCCTCCCAAAGTGCTGGGATTACAGGCGTGAGCCACTGCATCCAGGCCTGTTTTCATTTTTAATTTAGTTTCTTTGAATAGGAAATATACTTCCACGTTTCCAAATAGCAGAGGAGATAGTGAAAAGCTCCCTTCTGGAGTGCACATCTCCTGGGGGATACAGAAACAAGGAAACCCCTCCTAGACACCTTGTGTGTGTATCCGTTCTAGAGAGCTTGTATGCGTATATTGCAAAAGACATACTACCTCATACTAATGGTAATGTACTGAGCACACAGTTCTGCCCTTGCTTTTTTTGTTTCTTAACTAATTGGAGATCTTTCTACATCAGTACAGAAAGAGTGAACTTCTTTCTTCTTGCCAATTGAATTGTGTTCCATTATGTAGCTATACCATAATTGTTTAACCACTTCTCTGTTAATATGCCTGTATTTTCTTATTTCTCTTTGCTTTCCTTATCTCCTGATTCACCCCCAGGATGATACATAGTTTTATCACTCTTACCTAAGATGCAATTCTCCCTTCCTTAGAAGTCTTTGCTATAGAGACTCAGGACTTCCTCTAGCTTCCTGTGGCAAGTGGAGTTTATTTAATTCACAGGAAGGAACTGGAAGCCACTGATGCACTTTCTCACAGGTCCTCCTAGGAATAGTTAGCTCTGAGAGTGTAGCCATGAGGGAACAGGCCAGTGGGCCTCCACTGTAAGGTGGGCTCTGCTCTCGAGCCTTCAGTCACACCACTTGCTCGCTCTGTCTTTCTGCTTCTATTAAACTTCAAACTTTCCCTGTTTTCCTGGGATCTTTGCACATGCAATGCTTTCTCTCTGGGACCTTCTTCCTCTGGATATTCACAACGTCCTTCTCCTCCAGGCCTCAGCCTAAATATCCTAAAAGAGGCCCTCCCCAGTAACCTGTGACACTCTGTGCACGAGGTCCTTTCATCCCCACCCCATTCTCCCTGCCAATGCCACCCTCCCCCACATTCTTCTCCTCCTCTGCCCCTTGTTTCTTTCATGGCGCTTAGTACAACATGCAATGATCTTATTATCTAGGGAGCTGCTGATCTATTTCTGCCTCCTCAGGAAAGTGTACACTCTGAGAAGAAGGGCAGAGATCTTGTCCTGTTCCCTCTGGGGTCCTCAGCACCTCCTACAGTGCCCTGCACACAGTGGGCAGTCTACATTATTTGGTGAATGAATGATGTTGGGCTAATATTGGCAGAGATGATTCTGCTGGCCCATCATCAATCAGCTGTGCACTTTGTTATGTTTCCAATAATGCTCTGAGGGGTGAAGTAAGATGGGACCGTGTGGAGAGTTGTAAGGCTCAAGGCTGGGCTCTGAGCTGAGTGACCTTGGCTAGGCTGCGTAGCCTCTTAGACACAGTCTCTTTTTCAGTGAAATGAGGGGTATTTGCGCTCAGTCTCCATAAAGTTATTTCTCAGTCTAACAGTCTATGGAGCAAGTAGATACATGGAATGCCAATAGAATATTCTTTGGCAATAAAAAGGAACAGAGCTCTGAGGCCTGCCACAACACGGATGAGTCTGGAAACAGTGCTGAGTGGGAAGAAGGCATCACAAAGGACCATGTGTTTTATGTTTCCATTTAAATGAAATGTCCAGAATAAGCAAATGCATAAAGACAGCAAGTAGATTCAGGGTATCCAGGGCCAGGGTGGGTGGAGATGGGGGAATTATGGTTAAAAGGCATGGGGCTTCTTTTTGAAAATATTCTAAAATGGATTGTGGTGTTGGTTGCACAACTCTGTTAAGTTGTAAGAAAACCCACTGCATTGTACAACTTAAATAGGTGAATTGTATGGTATGTGTGTTATATCTCAATAAAGCTGTTTTTTTTTTTTAAATGGTTATTAGACTTCATGGTTTTCAGAGAACCTTCACATACACTTTTCTGTCAACTTCTCAGCATAATCCTGTATGTTTAAGAGAGACCAAAGGAAAGGGCTAACCTTTTACTGATCACCTACAATGTGCCAGGCATCATGCTAGTTTCTATCTTGATATAAACAGTATAAAATTAAGGAGTGTGGGCTCCAGAACACAACTGCATCAACTCAAGTTCTGCTTGGCTGCCTATTAGCTGTGTGATCATCCGGCAAACTATTTGCCTCTGTTCCTTATCTATAATGGTAGTTGTTGTAAGGGCTAATGCATGGAAAGTGGCCAGTACTCGTCAGACTATTTCCTCTGTGCTTTTGTGACCTTTTCTGCTCCTCGAAGTGTTCCCTGGAGGAAGGTGGTGCTTGCTCTGTCCTTTAGGTGAAGAGCTGGAGTTTGGTGAGAGTGTGTTTTATGCAAGGTTATACTTCTAAGAAGGGGAAAAATCATGACCAAACCCTAGGTTGAGTACTCTAAGTATCCTACATTTTTCCTCTCTTTCACATAACCTCTTGGGCTCCAATTATGGGAATGGATTGATCCAAATTCAGCCATACTCTCCTGCTCGGACCCTCTTGTGTTCAAGATCACACATGGACAAGATGGCGGGTGGCCATCCAGGATCCCATTCGTAGCCACAGAATGAGGTGAGGTTAGCTGCCTGGGACTCTTTCCAACCTATCACCCATATATGTAGATATTTAGTCAAACACATTATAGGTGCTACAGAAACCCCAAAGGGGAGGTCTTTTAAGGTAATCAAGGAGTTTTTCTTTTGTTTGTTTGTTTTTCTAAGATGGAGTTTCACTCTGTTCCCCAGGCTGGAGTGCTGTGGCGCGATCTCAGCTCGCTACAACCTCTACCTCCCAGGTTCAAGTGATTCTCCTGTCTCAGCCTCCCAGGTAGCTGGGATTACAGGCACGCACCATCATGCCCGGCTAGTGTTTTTTTTTTCTTTTTTTTGTATTTTTAGTAGAGACGGGGTTTCACCATGTTGGCCAGGATGGTCTCAAACTCCTGACCACAGTTATCTACCCCCCTTTGGCCTCCCAAAATGTTGGGATTATAGGCGCGAGCCACCGTGCCTGGCCAATCAAGGAAGATTTTTAAAAAGCTTTTCATTTCCTATGCTTTTCTGTTTTGCTG